GAACGAGCGGTGCCACCGCGTGGACCGTTAAACGTTTCAGTGCAGCAGGGTCGAGTGGCCCGCTGTCGTGATGGAGGCGCATCTGCTGCCGCCCGTCCAGTGGAGTGCACGGGTCCACAGGCAGGCCGCGGCGCGCGGGCGAACGCGCCGAAAACTCGGCGCTGCTGAGGGTATCTCGCCGCGGTGAAACGTTGCAACGCTCGCTTCTCGAGAAGCTGCGGCCACCGACTCCGCGAAGGTGTACGATGGCCCATGCTGCGAGACCGTGCACCCAGTTGGTGTCCAGCACTCGGGCGAGGTGCGGTGGCTCCTTTAACGTTGCGGAGTTCCGGGCGAACTCCCAGGGGGCTCCATCGCCGGCGAGGCGATCGGGGAGCTTGCTGGGGTGGAGCCCAGAGCACGGCAGTGTGGAAGTGGCCGCTGGCTAATTAATCAGGGCGTTCCCCGAGGGCATGGCGATGCCCCCGCTGGGCCCTTAACGGGTGCCAAGCGGCTCGGGAAGGCGGGCGCCTTTGGAAGGCCACCGGGGAAACGGGGTACAAGGGCGGTGGAAGCTAGTCGTGGGCAACCATGGCTAATGGAAATTGCCCTAGCTACTCCGATCCCCCGCAGAATGGCCGAGGCGCCGCCGGCCTGTTGGGGCCCACGCGCGGGTTGGGCCTCTTGAGGCCTGCGCCGCGTGGTGGTTCTGGTTTCCCCCCTTCGGCGTGACAGGCCCTTATTGGGAGCCGTCGCTGGGGTTGAGGTCCCCGTCGGCGTGACAGGCCCTCCTGAGCATCCGTCGCTGGGATGGAGCCCCCCTTCGGCGCGACGGGCCCCGCCGAGCTCGAGCGCCCGAAGGCGCTGCTGGGAACGAGCGCGCTGCAGCACTGGAAGCGCGCTCTGTGCAACGCCAAGGTGGTCGCCAGGACACGGGCGCGGCTGTCGAACCTTGCGGCCAATCTGAGCATCTTGCTGGTGTCCCGTATTCGGGCTAAACGTTGCGACCAATCCGTGCATCTTGCTGGTGCCCAGCACTAGGGTTCGACGCGGTGGCCCCTCTCATGGTGCAGGGTCCGTAAATGAACCCTGGGGGGCTCCGTTGCCGACGAGGCGCTCGTGGGTTTGCTTGGATGGAGGTTGAGGCGCTGCAGTGCGGGGGTGGCCGCCGCCTGTCCAGGGCGCTCCTCGAGGTCTTGGTGATGCTCCCGCTGGGCGCTGAGTGGGCGCCGGGCGACTCGGAGGGGCCTCTGGAAGGCCACGGGGGCCGCTGATTGCAAGAGCGGTGGGAGTTTGTGGGCAGCCATGGCCGGTGGAAGCTGCGCCAGCTATTCCAAGGCCCCCGCAGATTGGCCGAGGCGCCGCTGGCTTGGCGGGCCCCCCAGATTGGCGAGCCTACCCGCCGGGCAGAGGGGGTCCGCCCACCAGTGCTGTTGGGGTGGAGCGAACTCCGGCGCCACGGTGGTCGCCGCGGCACACGGGTGCATTCTGCTCGTGTCAACCTCGACGAAATCGAGAAGGGGCGCCGGCATGGCGTCGGCGGCTGCCCCAGATGAGCGCAGGCGGGCGCGCGGCACAGACGCGGCGTCAATCGTGGCGCGAACGAAGGCACACTCACAGTCCGTAGTGCCAGGGGCTAAGGCTGAGGAGTGGCCACATAATCATCGCCAGGAAAAGAAGTGGCGCGTGCGGCACCTCGTGGCACTGACGCGAAAGCCAGAAGGGCATCGGCGGCAGCAGGGCGGACAGCGCCTGCGCTGACCATGGCTGGTCGAAGCGAACGAGCTATTCCAAGGCTCCCGCAGATTGGCCGAGGCGCCGCTGGCCTGATGGGCCCCCGCGCAGACTGGCCAGGTTAAGTCTCGCCTAGTAGGAGTCTGCCGCCCAGCGCTGCTATGTTGGAGTGAACTGCGGCAGCAGGGTGACCGCCCGGGCGCGAGCGTGTATTCTGCACGTGCCAACCTCGACGAAATCGAGAATGGGCGCCGGCACGGCGTCGGCGGCTGCTCTGGCAAAGTGGGGGCAGGCGCTCGGCGGCGAAAGAGGCGTCAACCATGGCGCGAACGGTGGCGCTCTCACAGCCCGCAACAGCAGGGGCCAAGGCTGGAGAGTGGCCACAGAGTCACCATCGGTGGAGGAAGCGGTGTGCGCGGCACCTCATCAACTCTCGCAGTGCCCGATGGCGGCAGCGACGTGAAAGTCAGAGGTGCAGCGTGCCCCCCAGCGCTGCTGGGATGGAGAGAACTGCAGAAGCAGGGCGGCCGCCATGGCGCGAGCGTGTATTCTGCTCGCGTCAACCCCGATGAAATCGAGAACGAGCGCCGTTACAGCGTCGGCGGCTGCCCCAGTAAAGTGGGGGCAGGTGCTCGGCGGCGAAAGTAGCGCCAGTCATGGCGCGAACGGTCGCTTTTTAACAGCCCGCAACAGCATGGGCTCAGGCTGGAGTGGAGGGTGGCCACAGAGTCACCATCGGCGAGGGAAGCGGTGCGCGCGGCACCTCATCAACTCTCGCAGTGCTTCATCAACTCTCGCAGTACCCGAGCGCGGTACTGACATGAAAGTCAGAGGTGCCGACGAGATCGGCGGCAGCAGGGCGGACAGGGCCCGCGCTGAGCCGACGATTTCGGACCGGGGCCTGGATGAGTGAAGGTAAGCAAGCGCCCCGCGCGGTCAAACGGCTTGCTTCGGCGGTCGGCGCTCCAGGCCCGGGCAAACAATTACAGAAATGCCATTTGCGTCTACAGAACTGGAGGCAATCCAGAAATCCAAAGTCAAGCTTGTTAGTCATCCTGAGGTAGGGCAGAGGTGTGTGTTTTTTGTTTGCTGCCCGTTAGGTAGCTTGTGCGCAGTGAGAACCTCAGGGCCTTCCGTGGCGGCTGCCTCCAGTTCACCGCGTGCGGCTTGTTCGCCAGAAACCAAATGAGAGTGTGTGAGTGTGGAGGTGATAATCTTTGAGACCTGGCCCTATGGGGCCGCTTTGGCCCAGGGTCAGGCTCGGGACGGACTCCCCCCCCGTGCCGCTGGCAGGAAAGCGTTCCGTGGCCCACCGCGCTGCGTGGCCCCTTTGTGGGCCCAGCGTGGTCAGCGCGCTGTGTGGCCCCTTTGGGGGCCCGGCGTGGTGTCGTGGACAATAGGCCGGCGGGCCCTTCTCGGGGGCCCCCACTGGCTCGCAGAGGGGTGGCCCGCTATGAGCCTGGTCGCCGTGTCAAGCGGCGACGCGGCGCGGCTAGTGGGGGGAGGCCTGACGCTCGCGCCAACGCACACACATGTTGCTCCGGCGCGCGACTGTCGACAAAATGGACGCCATGATGATGATGGTGATGATGGTGATGATAATGTTGATGCTGATGATGCTGCTGATGCGGATGATGATGATGACGGGGATGATGATGATAATGATGTAAATGATGGTGATGATGTTGGTGGTGGTGATGCTGATGATAATGATGAGGATGATGGTGGTGCTGGTGGTGCTGACGATGCTGGTGATGATGATTATGATTGTGCCCATGATGATTATGATCATGCTGCTGATGATGATGATGATGATGTTGCTGATGATGATGCTGATGGCTATTATGATGATGATGTAAATGATGATGATGATGATGATGGTGCTGATGCTGTTGTTGTTGATGATGATGAGAACGATGACGACGACGACGAGGGGGGGGGACGGAAGTCGACTGAGTGGAACCGGAAAAACATGACAAGGAGGGCGAGGGGGAGGAGGAGAGGGAAAAACCATATGTAGGGGGAGGATGGAGCCCAGAGCAGAGCCGAAATGCACCAGCGATGCTGCCGGACGCCCTCCCATCCCGCAGGCCCCCTCCCGGAAATTCCCACGGGCCTGCCTTCTCGCTGTCAACAGGACGCCCCCCCCCCCCCCCCCGGAGAGCCCGCGCTCTGCGGGCCTGTTCCGGCAAGCGGCCCGCTTTGCAGAGGAATTGCTCTGCACCCCTGCAGTGGGCAGCGAGGTCGATTCCCAGGAGGGTGTGCGAGAAGACGCGGGGGCGTGGTGGGGAGGATGAGGATCCCGCAAATGTGGAAACTGTGGCGAACCCTGGGGCTTGTGTGTATTTCTTTGTGTGTGTCCCTGGGCCCCATTCCCAGGCTGGAAGAGCTCACGGAGATGCTCGACATGCTGAACCAGGAGCTACAGCGAGTCGGCCTAAAGTTGAACGCCAAGAAGAGCCGGATTTTCACACTGGATCAGCATTTGTACGATAACGCGTCCGAGGTCTTAGTTGACACTGCTGGAGATTTCATCAACGTGGTGCGGAACATCGGTTCCCGGGCGACCTCAGGCAACCATGCAGGGCTATGCTTGCAAATCGTCTTCGTTTTGTATGGGCCAAGTTCAACACATTCAGGACGGCTTTCGCGAACAAGCACGTCAGCTTCGACCTCTGTGCCTGGCTGTTCGACAGCACCGTCACGCCGACGGCATTGTACGGCTTGTCGACAGCGCCGATGACAGTGAACGACGTTGAAAAGCTTGCAAGTACACGGCGGCAAATGTTACGCTGCATGGTGGGATCTGTCAAATTCGACACAGATGATTGGCCAGACATGTACAGAAGGCTGAAGGTAAGACTCGAAGCAGCACAAGCTCGCAAGCCCATCCAGCAATGGGCCACGGAACTCACCAAAAGCAAAACCCAGTTGCAGGAAAAACTTTATCATCTGAGCCCAAACGCGTTGTTGAGTCTAGTCGCGGCCTGGAATCCAGGCGGCACTATCGACGCATAGCTGCCTACCCAGCCGAAGCGCTACAGAGGCAGGCCACGAACGACGTGGGACAGATTTGCAGTTTGACTCCCCCCCTCCCTCCTTCCGTTCCTCCCTCCCTCCCTTGTCACTTCCTTACTTTCCATGCCCAATCATGAATGCATCAGCAGCAGAGAGTTGTAATTGTTTCGCTCCGCGTCCGGTATCGGACCGGGCCTCGTGCTCGTACGGGACCTTGACCTTGACCCCGGGCCCCCTTCAAAGGGTGCGGCAGGCACGATGTGCAGTGCGACGAGGCGTCCAGCGAGATTACGGTTTAGAAACAGGGCTGCCCCTTCTGCGTGACTGCCGCTGGCCATGATTCTCGAGGGGACTTCAAGCTACACCCCAAGAAGGGAGAAAACACACAGACAGAATTAATCGTCGACTCCCAGGAACATGTTGGAACATATTGGCAGTGGGGGGGAAGACGAAAACCCAGAACATGAGGGAAACAAATTGGAATCCTGTTATTTATTTGCGTGTGTGTGTGTGTTTCTATTTGTGTGACCTTGGGCCCCCTGAGTAACCCAATTTTCGAGAGGAACCGCCCTCCGTTTTTGCAGCTGTCTTCAGTTCTCCTGGTCTTTCAGTTTCGGAACTGTCCCGCGGGAACCCCCCCCTTGACAAGTAACCATCCTTCATCCTTAGAGTTGTTGGAGGCTTTAAGGCGTGTGTGCGCGGTGCCAGGGGCGAGAGCCCTGTTTTGAAAAGGGGCCGCCTCCATTCTTGTAGCTGGTGCAAGCTTTTGAGACGCATGCGCGCAGCGCTAAGGGGACAGTCCCAGATTGAAAAGGAGTCGCCCTTAATCATCTTTGTGCGCAGGTTGAAAGACGAATGTGCGCGACGTTCAGGCGACAACACCACTTTGGCAAGAAACCGCCCTCTATCAATCTAGCCGCTGCAAGCTTTTAAGATGAATGCTCGCGGCGCTAAGGCGAGAACTCCATGTTGCAAACGACCCCCCTCCACCCGTGCATGTGTTGCAAGCTTTGAAGACGAAAGCGCGCGGTGCTATGGAGAGAGTCCAGTTTTGAAAGCGACCCGCCCTCCATCCGTGCGGTTGTTTGACATTCCGAGCGTGAGGATGTCGAGTGATGAGGAAGCCTCAGGCGAAAGGCCCGGCCCGCCCAAGTCTGTGCACATCCCTTAATGGTTCGCGGTGGCTAACAGCTGGGAGGGGGCCCCCAGGGCCCCTGTAGTCTAAGCGGGGTGGCCCTGTAGTTCAAAGGGGGGGCGGGGGGGCCCTTAAAGTCCGTGGGGGGGTCCTGTACTCCGAGGAGCGGTCCTGTACGCAGTCGTGGGTTGAACTGGGCTCGCGGGGGAAGCGTTCTCGTCCCCGCGCGCGGACAGCCACCGCGCGAGAGCAAAGCCATACGGGAGGAACTTGGCGCGCGCGCGGCATCCCACGCGCGTGGAACGCGGCGCGCATGGATCCATACGCGCGAGCGTGCGTATTGGGGGGCCACGTGAAACTGTGGCCACTTTGCTGCGCCCCTGAGGGGTTCATGTGTACGGTGTCCCACGCAGGTCCGCGCACGTGCGCAGACGAGGGCGCCAATCATGCAACGCTCATCAAACACAGCATCACGCGCATCGCAAACAACGCGCAACACACGAGCAAGTGTGCGCGCACTGTCCCGTCGGCGGTGGGGCGCGAGGTGACACCGCTGGCGGCGAGCGCGCACGTGCGAGGAGCCCCCCTTCAAGACAAATGCGCCGGACTACAGGGAACCTGTAGTCGCGCGCGTACGAGCAGCCCCCCTCCAAGACAAATGCGCCAAACTCCAGGGAACCTGTAGTCCTTGTGGGGGCCCTTGTTGTCTGGGGGGAGGCCTCTGTAGTCTTGGAAGCCCCTGTAGTCCTGGGCCCAGAACTGTCAGGCAATTAGAGTACTGGCACTTTCGGCGGTCAGACGATGAGGAGTCAAAAGAAACGGGGTGAATGAAGAGCAAAGGATGGGGGGAAGAGGGGATGAGGTGGGAGGACGGAGCTTGGCGAACGACGTTTGATGCTCTGTGACCAGTGTACCGCTGTCTTACGGCGTCGTAGTAGTAGATGGAGATCGAGGGGGAGCATGAGAGTAATGAGCAGGAGAGTGACGATGATGAGAGAAGGGAAGGACGTCGATGGCAACAACACGGAGGAGGGGGTCGCAGGGACCCTGCCCCCTTTTCCCGGCCCAGGTTCGGTGCAGGCCGCAATTGGCGGCCTGGCGCAGCGGATGCGGACGAGTCCATGAACACGACCAACGGGATGCTGGAAGAGGACGCGGAGGCGGCAGCCCGTCAGTGTTAGAGACCGTTCCTTGGAAAGGGGTCTTTCCGTCTCAGATCCCAGTATAATTTACGCGCTTTCCTACTTTAAAAGCCAAGTGTGCCCTAGTTGAACCGCGAATCAGTCGGGCCGGGCGAAAGGGGGGGATTGGGAAAGGGGGGGGTACGAAATTTGCTGCATGCAGCTGGTTTCGGCCTCACCGAGGGGCCCATTCCTCGATACATAGCCGCTTCCGGCGCCGGGAGGCGCCGGGAAAAGCAGCTACGCGAGCTGATTCTCAAACCCCCCCTTTGCTATCCCCCCCTTTCGCCCGACCCGAATCAGTTGGGTGGGCCGAGGCCCAATCTAAACTACACTGCCATGCGGGTTAAGACGGCCAGGCGGTTTCGAACGCCCCGGGCGGGTTCACACGACCATGATGTCACGACGGGAAGTCCAGTCAAACACGTCTATATCTATATATATATATGTATGTATATGTATATATGTATGTATGTATATATATATATATATATATGCCCATGTGTTTTTTTTCAGGGGCGAGGAGGAGAAGGACAAGGAGGAGCGAGTGGGATGAGGACTACGAGGGAGGAGGAGAGGCGACGAGGAGAAAGAGGAAGGCGTCCGCGCCTCAGGAGGAGGATGGGCAAGGGCAATGAGGGGTAATGAAGAGGAGCATTGAGGATGCGGAGCGAAGTTGAGGAGGCTGAGGGGGATGCGAAAAAGGGTAAGCAGCGTGAGATCGTAAGCTGGAATCGGCAGTACACAGTAGCAAGCAAAAGCGCGCAGCACCAATCAGAAACAAGCAACGCCGAGCTCAAGCAGCAGCGATCCCCGTGGTGCCCGAAATCGGTTTCACAAACCGGTGTTTCGCGTGAGACGCCCTCTCAACATCCAGATTACATGAGTATGGTTCAATGGCTGGACTTTGCGTAAACTTGACACGTGGGTTCCAAGAGTGGCCCCAGATGATTTAAGAGAGCTCCACGAGGACCCCAAGAGAACCCAAACAGGGCCCCATGATGCCTCCGATACTGTCCCACACGGCAGTTTCGCGTGAGACATGCTTTTCCACATGTAGATGTCGAAGGAGTTGCCTCTCAAAGCTTACCTCTTGGTGTTCATGAAGAGTTCGAGGTGGCTCAAGAGCGCCCCAATAGGGCCCAAGTATGGCCCCAGCATGCCTCCACTATGGTTCAGGACGTCCCGACGGGACTCCGAAAATGACAGCGATGCGTGATACAGTGAGTCCCAACACTTGAGACTTCGTTGTCACCTTGGGCATCCGTAGCTGCCCCGAGTCGGTGTCGAATGGTGGCCCAAGGGGGCCTCGGGGTAGTTAGCATATAGCCAGGTTGAAATTGCCAGGTGGGTTGGTATGGCCAGGTGGGTTCACACGCCCAGGCGGGTTGTCGCGACCAACGGCATGCAAGCGAAACAGGCAGGTGTTTTAGATGGCCCAAGAAGCTCCAAGCGAGCAGTACCACAGCTAGGTTGGTTATTCCCATCGTGATGCGATGGTGTGCAACGACTTGCAAAGCACGTGTCTCGATGTGCTCGCTTGTCCGTGTATCGCGCGGTTGGGATAGCCCGCCTCAGGGGCATCGGGTCTCTCCATAGGTTTTCCCTTGCTGGTCTCGTTAATAAAAATATCATAGCTGGGTTAGAATGGCCAGGCTAGTTCAATTTGTCCGGCGGGGTCAAAAAGCCAAGCGGATTGGCAGGACAGTCGTGTTCGTCTGTCCGGGCGGGTTGCCACCGCCCCATGCCCGCGCAACCAATCTGTCCCAAGCTGATTACCGAGGAGCGGGGAGGAGGAGGAGGAGGAGGTGAGAAGGAAGCCGTCTGCCCGCTCGGGGTGGGACGGCCCCGCGCTGGCCCACGCGCGGGCGGCGGCCGCGAGGCCCGCCATAGAGACCGCGCGGGCCCCCCGCCGCTGCGGCGGTCTCTGGCGGCGGCTGCCCGCGGCGGGCGGCGCTGTGCTGCTGCTGGCGGTGCGCCCGTCCTGCGGCCAGAGGGGAGGCCGACGGCCAAGCGCCCCGAGCCAGCTTGGCACAGGCGCGCGAGGCGCCGTCGCTGGCAGGCGAGGGCTCTCCTCCAGGTGCTGACGGCGCGGAGCTTGCTGGCCAGGCACCACTCGAGCAGTCTCTTTCGGGAGATGTCGGGGTGGACCTGCAATATGTGTGGGGCCAAAACGGAAAGCGATAATGGCATTGTCGAGGATCCCATTGCAATCGTTCGATGAAGAGGCAACAGCAGCAGCAGGCAGAGTTTCGACGTCAGCGAGAACAGCAGGCCAGCCTTGACAAGGAGACCAAGAGCATGATTGACAAGACTATGATGTGTACTACGGAGTCCGCCCAACGACACCAGCTGTTCGTGCCCACGCCGGAGCAGCCGAATGCAGTGAGAGTTCACAAGGCGATGTTGGAAGAGAAGCTTCGTGCGACGGCTAGGCTGCTTCTCGAAGCGAAAAAGAATGGGACGCGGTTGCAGACGCAGGAGCACGAACTTGCAGTGTTGAAGACAATGTTTTGGTTCACTAAGCCTCCAGATGTCCAACGACGCGAAGCTCTGGACGGTCTCAATCGCACTAAGGAAAAGCTGGTTTCACTGGAGGAGCAGTCGCGAGAGCTTGAGTTTGACTTGATGTACGAGAGGTCGATGATCGCTTACTATGACGATTTGCTGACTTAGTCGGCGGCGTTGAGCGCTATGGTCAGGAACAATCCTCGACATCTGGAGAAGGACATGGTCGCCGCAAGCACTTATTGTCTATTCGGGTGGGCAGCGACGGAGATGACGGAGGAGTTTCTACTGGGACCGAGGCGCCACCACCACCTCCACCTACACCACTTCCGCCGGGACCCGCCCCTCAGGTCATGCCAGGTTCGAGCGGCAGCATGCCAGGTCCGCCGCGTGGAGAGACTAGAGTTCCAGCTACTCCTATTGTTGATGGACATCATCTCGGGCACAGCGGGCACCCCAAGACGTCCCAAAGTCTGACTAGACCCCTGGGGGAGCTCGGGGCGTCCCTGTGGAGGAGTGTGGGCACCTACTGCCACGCCAATTGCTAAGTCGGTTCAAGCGTTGAGTTCGGGGGAGGGGTCGCCTGATTCGAGGGCCCCAATCATGCCGTTTTCTGTGGATAGGGCACCAGGTCACACGAGTCCTGGGCTTGCACAGCAAAGGTCAGCGCAGCTACATGATGATGCGGGAAGAGGTGGCCATCCGAGTTCGGGCACTCCTATGTCTATGGCGGCCCAGCAGGCGACGCAAGCTGTCCCTGAGAATGCTAAGAGGGCCATGGCAGGGAAGGCGCAGACGCTACGTGGCGAGATGATCGAACACTTCGCCAAACTACAGAAGGAGGCTGCGCTCAGTGATGAGGAGCTGGAAGAGGCAAAGCGCAAAGTTGCACACGGTGACCAACGCATTCTCGAAGCTGAAGAATTTTCGAGGCAGGTCGAGCAGAACGCGCGCAAGCTTGCCGCAGAGTCGAAGCAGATGGCCGAGTCGGAAGTTGCTCACGTGGAAGATCAGATCCGACAGCGCGTTGAGGTCGAAGGGAAGGGGGAACGGGAGCTAATTGGTCAAGAAGTCGGCGAGCCGCGAGAATACTTACGACAGCGGCAGCTTCTCTTATCCGAACAGGCTCGTGCTTTCGAGAGTTCTCAGGCGCGTTGGGATCTTCGCGAAGAACAGAAAGCTCAGAAACTCGGTGAGGCCCGAGACGCATTCGAGCAGCAGCTGCAGCAACAGAAGGAGAAGCTGGACGCCCTATATTCTGAGGCCTGGATGGGGTTGGTTCGCAGGTCAGAAGAAGCTCAGCATCGTCGCGAGGCGGATGCGCGCGAGTCGGTTGTGGCTGTGCAAGAAGCAGAGGCGCAGACAAGGGAGCTGGAAGAGCAGATCGTCGCACTACGCCAGTCTGCATCTTCGGCCGGATCGGATGGATATGGCCCTGCAGCTCAGCTACGTCAGCGTCGAGTGCATTTTCCTTTCGGCCAGTCTCCTGATCGGGCGACCGCCCAAGTTTTGATCGAGGCCAACAAGTTGGGCGACTTGAAGTTTGAGGCAGGGGCGGCCAGACGCGCCGAACCGGAGGGGGATGCAGCAGTTGAATATGAAGATCACCGAATGTCACGATACCCCCCGCGTCCGCCACCTCCTTTGTCACCGCAGTCTGGGCAGAGTTTGGCTAGTGCTGGTTGATGAGGTGCTTGCCGAGGAGGGGCGAGCGGAATAATTTGATAGACTTGAGCGAGACCGCGGCAATCGGCAGTTCCAGGGGCGGCTACTGCAACAGCGGACCCTGCCCCAAGCAGCAGAGCACCAAGCCGAAGGCGAAGTTTTGGATTAGCAGGCCTCTCTCCCCCCTACGAACACGGATTCGAACGCGATCGCGAACTCACGAACGCCATGGGCGGCGCCGATGCAATCGACGCGATGCGCCCCAGTTCCTTACCAACGGTGTTTGACCTGGAGGCTATTGCGGAGTTGGAGCAGATCGCGGCCGAAGAGGAATCTGACTGGGACGAGGGCCAGGCGGGCATCATCTTGGAAGAACAGGCTTCCGAAGCTGACAAGGTTTGCCGTCGAGAAAGAAGAGCAAGCTGCGGCGTCGGAGCACAATGCGTCGCTTCTTCGCGTTGAGGCCGCTGCTAGTTCGGGGTCTGGTTTACCAGGCATTCCTGAGAGCACCCCCGCTTCAACGCAGGAGCCGCCCATGGAGGCAGACGGGGCTGAGTGCAGCTCTATTGGCCCGCCTCAGGGCGAGCCCGTCTGCAGCGCGACGCCAGCTCATACTGGCGAAGACGAAGAGACGGGTGGGAGTACCAAAAGCAAGATGCCAGCCAGGAAGCGCGGAAGGGCGACATTGCACGGGGCAGCTCCACATACAGAGGCCAGCACTATTAGGAGGCCCTCCTCGAGAGGGGCAGTTGCGCGCAGGGGTGGAGAGTGGGGCGACGCAGTTGAAGTTGTTGAATCTCCGTCAC